AAGGTGTGCATTTTCCTTGCAATATACAGCAACATCCTTCCACGGAAAGAGTACTTTCGATGACCCAACACAATAGGTTTGGATCTTTTGACAAGTGGCAGCACTGTAGATTGGGGAACAGACAGGAGGCGGAGCAACTGGGACAGTCTTGCAAAAACCCAGGCAAAACAATAAGTGCCTCTGCCACGGGGATGGGGAGGATGAACCAGAAGCATTTAGAAACAATGGGGAGAGGACCAGCTGAATGTGGTGATAACAAGGAAAAAAATCTGAGGTCAAGGACATAATTCTTCATGAGAACAACATGTAAGTAGATGATGAGAATGTCAACGGGATACAGGACGAGGAAGAGATTTAGGGATTCAGAGTGGGGACAGGAGGTTTGGTTTGGGAGCTTAGAGAGGAGTTCGAAGCCTGTGGAATGAGGCTCAGCAGTGAGTGAGGTGAAGCATGAGATCCGGAAGTGGATGACAACAAAGGACAGAGAGAAGGGAGATGTCAACAGACAAGGAGAGAAGAGGAATGACAGGAGACAGAAGTAGAAGCCAGGAGAGTATAGGACAAAAAAGAAGAGTGCCATCGAAGCTTCGTCTGAGGATTTCAAGAAGAGCAGTGTCAGTGAGATGAAGTCAGAGGACCGAGGAGGCCACTAATGGATGTGGTTACAGTGCACGATTTTTAAAAGGAGAGGAAGGCCACTAGAATCAGCAGTAAGGCGGACACTTGACCTGAGTAAGAGCATCATTTGCTGCTGACTGAAACTGCTCTAATGGGATACAATCTTTCATTCTGTAATAAACAGAAAGCCGAAAATTAAAGTACCTCCTTAAGCTGAACAATAACAAACGTTTTAAGTGTCATGAGTCACAGAGTTTTAGAACTGGAGGAGTGCTTACTGATCATCCGTCTAATCCATCCCCCTTTTTTTATGGTTCAGGAAACTCTGGTAAAGGGCAAGTTTCAAGAAAGAAACATACCAGGCCCAGAGCCACTAGAGTCCAGGCCACGGAGCACATGGCAAAGGCCCCTATGCTTCTCGAGTCAAGACTGGGAGTGCTGGCCCAGAACTAAACAGATTACACTTGAGAACAGCAGCTTTATTCACAATGATACTCGAACGGGATTTAGCAAAAGATCCTCCTCCTGCCCAGTATCTTGACAGCATGGGTTGCACTTCATAAACGAAAAAGAGAAATATCCCGGAGGCAGGAAGGGAACTCTCTCCTCGGATGTGTTCTCTAAACCCCAGACGAGTTCTGTGCTCCCCAGGGCTTTGCGGAGTGGGTGGGGGACACTGTATTATCAGCTGGGAGCCCAAACCCTGGATCCCCTTGGGGCAGGTGTGGAGGCTTCGACACTGGCCGGGAAAACATCAGGCTTTCACCTCACTCATGGCCTCCATGAGGCGAGCACTGTTTGTGACGGCTGTCGTCAGAAAAATGAACCTGTACCCTGAGGAGTCAAAAGCACTGGCATATGTGACCCCGAGTGGACCACAGGCCCCAACACTAGCCATGCCACATGCGGCCCCCCCCCAGTCCGACAGCCCTGGCTGGATCGGAGCAGCAGTTTAGAGACACGGACGCGTCAACGCCATGCTCAGGGCACAACGCCACTCGCCGCACCTGGCAGAACTGGGCGCCCCACTCTTTAGCTCACAGCCAGCGGTACCCAGGAGCCACTCCCTGGAGGAGCCTCCAAGCACTGCCCTTCGTCCCTCAGATCCCAAGGAGGCCCAACGTCACCTTTCTGGTCTCCCTTACCTTTCTCCCTGCCCAGGAATCGCAGAGCCGAGATCTCAGAGAAAGTGCAGCC